CGCAAAAACAAACTCGCCGCGCTCTTGCTAATAAATAACAAAGGTCGTATATTGCACTAAAAATAATGACTACGTCTGTAGTGCAAAGAATGTTCATGAGTGTTTTCCAGATTTACTAAGCTTTTCGAGCCTCCAACGATCGTGGGAATCTTTCTTAGAAAATTATGTCCGTTCAATATTTTCCTTGATGGTAATAGTTGGGATTTTTCCCAATTGATAATATCCGAGAAATTTTTCTCAATCACAATTTACCAGGAAACAGTTGTACATCATCATCTTGAAATTCTGTATATAATTTCTAATAGGTTTACCTTAAGTTGATTTCATAGTGTTCGGAATTGGAGCATTTTTTCGAGGTCTAGGATTCATAATGTTTACATTTTCTCACATTGATTTTCCAATTATCCAATGGCAGAATTCTCGATCGTTCTACAAGGCTGCTTACCCTTCACGTAGCAACGTCGATTGAATTCTTGAATCTTCCAAGGTTTACTTTCGCCAAATTCTCGACTAGCCAAAAGCTTGGATTCTTGATCGTTTCCGAAGGCTGCTTGGCCTCGAATGATTACGTTGCTTTCGCTGAATTCTCAACTAGTCGAAAGCTCGTTTCGAGCTAGAGCCAGTTGCCGCGCTGATACATAAGACAGCGTGCGACAAGACTCCACGTAGTTAACATAAAGCAGTTATCCAGTATATAGTGTCGGTAGTTATAAAGTGCGCAGTATCAATAATTCCTACAAACTAGTCACCTACGCCCAAGCCACATTATCACACGGAGTCTTCGCCACGAAAAGGTCAAGTAACACACGCTCATTCAACGCAACTATTGCAAGGAACGTTCGTTCACTTCTCCAGTGCACCAACACAACAATCCGTCAAGGGCTGACTGCCGTTCTAGAAAATAGTCGACTATACAAAGTATCGTATCTGATCCTTCTACTCTCGAAAGTATATCATCTGTCTTTATTGCGAATAACTGACACACAAATACTCCCATACTGCCCTTATGAGTATGGTCGATTCTCCCTGCTAAGCACTGCTAACTACCACTATCACCTTCCCATGCTCACCTGATGAGCATGGTCGACTATTCTTGCTAAACTTTACAACGGCAGCATTGAACACAATAAGCCATATTTCCCTTCAGGGAATATAAAAAATTCATTGCTGATCCCCATAACATCATCAACGACAAGAAGCAACCAGATCATTGTAATAGAATAATTCGCTCTCTCTCTCTCTCTCACTAGAAGAGAGCATAGAACTGCAATATTTGAATTGTTAATAAAACAGAATAAACGATGTCTTAAAATGAAGTTAGACACTGTACATATTTACAGCCCATCCACATGTGTCCTTTCCTAAGCATCGCTACGGCGAGAGACTAATAAACTGAATTTGGCAATTCGAGCCTCAAACTAAACTTTCGAACACATAGCCTTACATTCCTTCTCGTGCGGTTTACTTGTATACTTAGTATTACAGATACCTGCTGTGATATCTATTACCTATTCTACATATATATATATATATAACTATAATTTTATTTCGTTATACTATACTTATATTATACGATAATCTTATTTGAAAAAAAGGAAAGGTATAAGATTATTATAGGCTAAATAATAATAATTTAATAAAGCCGAAAAGGAAAAATCAAATTATTATACTGCATGAATTAAAAATCGAATGTTTATATAAATAATGGTATACTAAAATTAAGAATATCAGATTTCCAGAATAAGAGCAATATATTTTATTTTCTATTTGAAATCTGCTCAAATACTAAGTTTTAATATAAGAAAATGAATATGATTTATATCTTTGTATGCATTGTGTTATATGACCAATAACGCTAAATAATATCACTAATCATTTTAAGATCAACTTAATTCAAATAATATTATTGCATATTGTTTGTAAAATCAACGATATATTTTCGTACATTTCTTAAAGCTATGAAAAATCATGTGTATATTAGTGATATGCTAGTTCTTAACTAATGAAACATTTCAGTCTCTCTTCGATTTAAAAATTTCTTATTTAGTTACAATAATAGGAAAAAATAATATTGAAATGATAAAATCGTTTATTCTAATTTAATGGTCATCTTGTATTACCATTTGACAAAATTTATATTTAAAATGCATCAAGATCAAAATATTTACCGGGATATCGTAATTGCAGTTGTAGTTGCTTGATAATTTTGTTAAAACTTCGTAGATTGTTTTGCATCCAAAGATTAACATCTTAACCACTAACATCAGAATTAACTTATACAGCAGTACTATATCTGATAATTGAAAACGTAATGTATGAAATTTAAAATTTATATTTGCTAAACGGAAATTAGTAATCATTAAAATAGTTATTGAAAATTCTTGGTTTAAAGTTTATTGAAACCAGTTCAGTCTTTCTAGTTTATATTCATTATTGATTCAATTTCAGAGCTTTGTTACCATAATTACAAAATTATCAATAAAAATGAAAACGATTTTTATGACGGGAATAAGTAACACTACTTTTACTTTACTAATTCGATATACATTTGATTAATTTTTTTATTTATATAATAGGTATTTATATTATTAATGCTATTGTTAGTATTTTATCAAGAACTATTTTATAAGTTGATAGATTAAAAAATTAGAGTCTTTATTCACTTGATCTTTTGTAACTATAATTTATAAACAAAGATTGTATTACATTATGAATAATTAATTTGGTATTTTGAAAATAAATATATGATATTACAGCTATATACATACAAACTTATTATCATTTTAGAATATACATAAAATAAAACATTCAAGATCTAAAAGGGTGAACAACACAAGCAGCTCATATTCAAATTATATTTTTTGTTGTGAAGTTACAAAGGTTGTTTTTTATTTCTTTGCGTTCTTTTATTTATTATATATTATACTAATTTATTAAGCGAGTCTAATATATACGGAAGCAGTTCAGGATTAATTATAAAATTCATCAATTATTTCAGAGTATTTATTCAACTGAATAATATTTGCAAATTTGTGTATCAGCTACTAATAGTGTATGTTGTATAGACTTTTTTAGAAGTGTTCTCTTTGTGAAGATAATATATAATGTAGGAAAAGCTATAAATCTCAATTGACTTTCTCTGACTGATAAATAATACTGTGTACTAATTATCTGGAATTTCTAATGATTTTTGGTTTTTAATTTTCTGTTAACTAAATTTTTATTAAATTTTATACCAATTTGAATGAATACACAACATTCTATAACGGTATTTTGTTGATTAAAACTGGTAATTTATCTTTATTTTTAGTTATAAATAGTTATCTAAATTAATTTTATTGTATTTTTTCATTGTATTTTTAGTATTTATCAAAATTCTGTAAAATTACGTATTATTTATTTATTCAATCTAGATATAATATTAAGTTTTGTTGTTTTTTTAGAAAAAATTATTAAATTTACTTTAATTTTTTATAAACTTGTGTCATATTTAAATAATATTTTTTAGTATTTTTTGCTCATTGTAGATAAATCCACATTGTATCATGTAAGTAAATAATTACATTATCAACTGCAAGGGTCTTTAGGTTGGAAATCATCTAAATAAACTTTTATGCTAGGTAATAGAATACAGAATTCACGAAAATATAATAATTTCACTTCAAAATATCATCAAGTAAAGTGTGAACTATTTATAATTTTAGATTTTATATTTGTATGGACAATTAAATAAATACTTGATGTATATATTATAAATGCTCCAAAAATTGATTACAAATGTACTGAATTTATATATAATACAGTCTTACTCAATCTAGTAGTATATAATTAAATTAAATGGTTTTACTCATTAGTTTAGTTTTTCAACAAATAAACACAGAATAAAATGTTCATATTTTATTACAATTTGTTTTGTATATCATGAGATTATAGCTCCATTTCAGAAATATAAATGGACAAGTTCAGAAGAAGTCTGTTATTCTAGAAAAGTGTAAGAGATGTTTTATTAATTTTGTTTTTAATAATATAGACTTAAAAAAAGATTCAAAGCTGATATTCTAATTGAAGGCTTTATATATAAAGCGACTATGTTATATAAAAAACGTTTAAGATAAACTGTTTTAATTTGATATCCTTTAATCTTTTTACTAAAGGATATTTAATTTTTTTTTTTTAATTTCACAATCACGATGTAATGCTTCAACCTACAGATTATTTAAATAGTAACATGAATTAATGAAATAATTCAAGTACATAAAAAGTTATGACTTAATAATAATATAAATGTTAACTATAAATATTAACTTTTATTAAGAGATTTATTGGATCATTAAAAAATACCTTCAATTAAAAAAATTTAAAAAACTTCTGTAAATTCATGTCGTAATAATTCTATAATAATATTTAACTATATAGTTTTCATATAAATAAAAATGTTAGATTATTTAATTTCTATGAAACAACCTTATTCTATATTTTATATGTATTTACAATATTGTAAGATCTATTAATTATTAGTTTAATATTATATCTGCTTATCTAATGCTTTATAATAAACTAGTATAAGTTTTCAGAGCTCAATATTATAATCTTAATTATTTTTTATACAATAAAGAAACATACTACTATTATATCTGGCAATAAATACTTTAAAACTATTAAAATCTAAGAATACAATTACAAATAATTTTATAAAATAATGATAAATTAACAGGTGCATATATTATATCAAGGTACATATATTATACATAAAACATAGGACAAATAATTTAAGTCAATTTAAAAATAAAATAATAATTTAATTTCCAACACATAGTAATTCAAATTTTGAGCTAGTTTTCCATCATATAAAATAATGTAGAGATATTAAAATGATTTGTACAAATTATATACTAAAATTCAATTTATAAAATGTAAATATTCTTTTTCACGTAAATATACACGTTTGCTAAAATTATATTTGAATATTAAAAATGATCACAAAGTTTATATAAATCCTATACTACATAATTTTAATTATTATCTATATATCCATTTATTCCATTTTTATTATGTGATAAAGCTATTGTCTTATTATGATCGATTCCTAATATCATTTTCAATAATTTTAAAATGCCCTTCTTTTCTGTACTTTCATTTTCTGTAAAGAAATAATTAGTTATGTGAAATATATTTTTTCTAAGATTGAAAAAAATTATATTACCTTCATTTCCAGTAAGTTTCTGCTCTAATTTCAGTTTATCTTGAGCTATTTTATACATTCCCTCTTCTATAGAATCTTGGCATAGTAATCGAATTATTCTAACAGGTCTAGAAGTAATATAAAACCATTAATAACATTATGTTAACTTTAATAAATAAAATAAAATCATATTATCTTTACTTTCTTTGTCCAATTCTATGACAACGATCTTCTGCTTGTTTATCATTATACGGATTAAAATCGATATCATGAATAATAACTGTATCAGCACAAGTTAAATTAATACCTAATCCACCAGCTCTTGTAGAAAGTAGAAAAATAAATATATCAGTGTCTTCAATAAATTCATCTATTAAGTCTTGTCTCTCTATAACTGGAGTTTGGCCATCCAATCTTTAAATATATTAAAAAAAAACTATTAGCTAAAATTTTCAATTTTTAATAAACACTTGCTTTATTTATACTTACCGAAGATACCTATAATTATTAATTGTTAAATACTCTTCTAAAATATCTAAAACAATTGTAAATTGACTAAATATTAATACTCTGTGTCCTTCATTTTTTAACTCAGGTAATAGTTTATCTAGTTTTTTTAATTTTCCAGACTCAGATATTAAACTTTGAGGTAAACCAAATCCAGCTATACTTTTGAACGTTCTTGACAGTTGATTAATTTTATAATCAGACATCCATATTAATTCTTCAAATGTGTATTGAGCATCCTTTTGTTTCCAAGAAGATTCACTAATTAGTCTTTTAGAAATATTCTATAAATAAAAATAATTGACCTTTAGATGCATTTTATAATCAATTTTTTTATAAATACAAACCCTTAATTTATCTTCTCTATAGTAATTTTGAAGAAGAAGTGGATGATTTGCGAGTTTACGTAATTGCATCATCATGCCAATACCATTAACTTCATCGTTTTCATCTGCTTCAGCGGAAAATTTTGCAACTAACCTAGTATACATATCTTTTTGCTCTTTAATCATTGGGCAAACTATAACCTCTGTAGTTTTTCGTGGTAAATCTTTTAAAACATCTACTTTTAGACGACGTAAAACAAATGGTTTCATTATTTGTTTAGCATTTTTAACCTGTTCTTCTTCAAACAGTGGTTTATCTTCAATAGATTTATTTGCATTTATTTTCTAAAAAACGTTGTTAAACTGTATTGTTAAAAAAAAAAAATAAATTAGTAAAATATTAGAAACATACTTACAGGATTTTTAGAAAACAGACTCTTTAAATCATCTTGTTTTCCAGCAAACATTGATGGCATTACAAAAATGAGTAAGGATATTAACTCTAATAAATTATTTTGTAGTGGTGTACCAGTTAAAAGAATACGATGTTGAGACTAAAAAATATATTTATATTTAAATGAATGATATACTTAAACAATAATTTATTGAAGCAGTTAGCAAACAAATGTAACTTACATTTATTTTAATTAAATTTTCATATCTTAATGTACTCATATTTTTTAACATATGTGCTTCATCAAAAATAACATATTTTAAAGGTAAAACACGAAATAAACGACGTTCTTCTGGTGTAGCACTAATAAGATTATATGTAGTTAAAATGATATCAATATTGTCTAAATCACCACTGCGCCATCCAAATCTCATTTGTCTGCGTTCTTCCTGAGATCCATAATATTTAACCACTTTAAGATTGGGAGACCAATGGTTAAATTCATTGCTCCAATTTTCTAGTAATACAATAAATAATAAATAATAATAAATATCAATTGAGCAAACATTGAATAAATAGTAGTAAAATACATACCTATAGTTGAACTAGGTACAATAATTAAGTGTGGACCATCTGTTTCATTGATTAAACCACTTTCATCAAGATAAGTGAGAAAGGCAATAATCTGTACAGTTTTTCCTAGTCCCATTTCATCAGCTAATATACCATTAACATTTTGTGTATGCAATACAGCAAACCAATTTAATCCAACCATCTGATATGGTGCTAATGTTAAGTTTGCATTCAAACCTTTTGGTTGCTCTTTTATGGTTGATGAACCAGCAGAAATTGCTTTTTCCATATTTATTGATAAATGAAGACATTTTTTCATAAGATGACCAACTACATTTCTTGTTTGGATTAAATCCTAAAACATAAAATTCAATTCGAAAATTAACTTTTAAAATAAAATTTTTAAACTTATAAAGCCTATAAAGATTTTCAAAACTTTTTATTAATTTTATAATCAATTCTTGTTTACTTTAATTCAATGAAAAATAATTAAAAAATTCTTTTTATATTAAAATGTATAGAAATAAATATTTCTAAGTTTTTCGGATACTTTTAAATCTTCCTTGACATTCATTTTATTTAAATAGATAAATTAACAAAATGTAAGAATGAAAATTGTAATTAGTTCAATATTATATTCTAAAATTATTAAAATGTAAACATAAACATTAAGACCAATAATTGAATTTTGAAGTATATTGTTTAAGATCATGAGCATACCTGAGCTGCATTCAAAAGTTCTGTATCCAAAAATTTTATACTCTGAAATTTTTCAACTAAATCTTTCCAACCATTAAAAGGTCGAGCTTCAATTATTGCATTAACTTTTTTTTGTGAACATTGATTCATTAACAATAATTCTGTTGGTAATGCATTTTGCATAAAGTTAAATACTGCTTTTTTATTATGTGTTAAAGTATTTGATATTTCTATATCACTTTCATCACCACTGAAACAAATTTAGCAAAATAAATTAAAATTTATATTAATTGGTAAATAAATTCATTAATTTGATATACCTATCAAATACTTTATCCTCACTAAAATGTCCTTCTTCGTTTGAATTGACATCATCACCTTGATCTTTATATTTTTTACGTTTATGCTTTTTAGATTTGCTAGTTTTCATACAAGATCTTTTGCGAATTTTATTAATTTCTTTTTTGGCTATTTCTAAATCCCAATTAACTTTATGTAATATATTTTTCAGATACTATAATATAGAAAAATTATAAAATTAAAAGTTGTCTTTGTTATAAAAATAAATCCTTGTTTAATACACATACTATGTTTCCATAATGTGGGTATAAATTAATCAGGTATTTAAGTTGCTCTTTACGCTTTAATTCTGATTTTTGTTCCAAATGAGAGACCGAGTTCTTGGTTAATCTTTCTTCATCGCTCTCACTATCTTCAATACGATTAACAGTCTTTCGTCGTACTTCTGGCGCAGCTAAATTACTATCTTCATCGGCTAAAAAAATTAATTATACTACTAAATATTAAATATTGTCTTAAATAATTAGTTTAATTATATATATATATATACAATACATATTAAATCGTAAAATTCAATACAAAATAAACTTCTTTAAAGAAACATTATTTATTGTTATTGTATGAAAATATTTCACAAATGTTTGATAAACTTTCTTGAAACAATTTAGAGTTTAACGTGTTAACAAAGCAGAATTAAAAGATTGACTGTGACACTTTATAATTAATCGAGATTATTAAACAGATTGAAAACATAAACTAAACAATAAAAAGTTAAAAGGATATTTTTTGATAATTAATGAAGCCAATATTGATAACCGTTGATGTAACAATAAAGTCGTCATGAAAATAAAGCGCTTACATGTGAACATTTTCTTTATTGCCTTTTTTTGGAAACGAAAATTTCGCAAATCCTTGAGAATGTTTGGACTGTTTGTGTCCACTTTTGGCAAACTTGTACTAGACATGGCATTCAGGCCGTGTGAAAAAAGACGGCAACGGTGATCAGTAATCCCAGTGGTACATATTTTTTGGAAAAGGAGGCACCTAACCGTTCAAAGTAGAATGAAAGGGCGGGAGAAACTGAACTCAATGATTATCGACTCAGGATCGTTCAACATTGATGGTAATTTTTATATAAAAATTTGTAGCAATCTTTATTTCTGTCTCAAATTTATGCAGTAGAAAAGAAACTAATTGAGTTAAAATTACGTTAAACTATAGCCTGTATATATAAATTATAAAATGTAAAAATGTGTTAATTTACTGATACTATTAGTTATCATTATCGAAGCATAATCTAATTTTCTTATTATTCTATATGATATTCTTTTGCCTCAAACTTAAGCAAATTTTTTAATTCTAGTATATCATTCTAGCATTCCATTGTATATTATTTTTATTTAATTGTTAAGTGATTTTTATTTTAATACAGTATTAAATATTCCATAAAAAGTTTTTTATTTATTTTTTTAAAATATAATTAATCAATTGTTTCACACTGCAGCTTTTATTTATTTTAGGTTTATAATTTTTTCGTTAATATTACTTGTATTTATAATAAAAATATAATAAGTTATAAATTTAGTTAATTTCTAAATGCCGTTTCAATGATAAATATAATTTATAATGCATGCCTACATAGTATTTGCTCGTAAAAATACAGTTATATTTTAAATTTTATAAAAGATTATATGGAATTAAATCCAAATATATCAAGAAATTTAATAAAACATTTTTATACGGAATTTCGATAAAAACGTTAAACATTATAAACATATTTTAAAAGGATTTAATATATATAATAGAAATATAATACAATAAATGTATCATCTTTTATTTTATAAATAACATTTTAGCTTCCTTTTACATTTAAAAAATTGAAATTTTTAAAAAAGGTTAAAGTAATATTTTGCACATTCTGTAAAAAAATTTAAACTAAGAATAATTAGCTATCATAAGCTAATAATAAACTATAATAATTTAATAATAATATAAATCAATTTTATTAGACTACTCTTATGCTAAAAATACAACAAAATATGAAATTGAATATGAAAAGAAAGATACAATGAGCACCATTTATATATAGACGGTCCAGTTATTATTTTTTTTTCTAATTAATAGCAGAATTCTCCATTCGATAAAACACACTTGGAAAAATTAAAAAGTTAGATAACTTAATAGTAAGCTTAGCCGTAGAAGCTTTAGAAAGTGATATCTTCAATTATGATTTTTTTACATTTTTTAAAAATCTTGAACAAACAAACTGGGATGTAACAAATAAAATGGTACATTTACAATCAATAAATATTCCAATACCAGAAATAGTTATATTTGCTGTATTATTATTGCACAGAAAGATTTATATTAAACTTAAAACATCTTTAAAACTCTCCATAAATCCAACTATTTTACCATTACAGTTTTGTATCTTAAATTGCTTTATTAAAAAATAACATTTTCACATCATTTTTCAATATAAGAATTAGATATTTGAATAATATACGAATCATAAATATCTAACCACATTCAATATTCAGCTCCTGTAAGCTAAGGTCGAATATTATCTGCCGTTATTTTCTTTTATTTTATAATAATTTTAATAAACATTAATAAAAACTCAAAATATTTAACTAAAGTTATTAATGCATTATAAGTGTACACCCCAAGATATTTATTTGTATTTGTGATGTACAGTTGTATAATTGTACAGAAATGGTTAATAAATCATTTACATGAATTGTGAAATATTGTTTTCTGAACTCAAATCATTTTAAAATATAAATTATTTTAATAATAATTTTTTTCTTATATAGTGCATTGGTAATTTCAATACTTTATCTTAAATTTATTACAGTTATATGGATTAATACTATATTCACCACAGAGTATTAATATAAAATAATCCATGTGCATAAATTTGAATAGATCTGGATGTTATTTGTTCAGATTTTATTGAAATAATGATTCAATCTAATATTATAAAATGTAAAAATTGTTCCAAATTATTTAATTGTGATTTGCATGATAACTTAATGTTTAGAATTAGTTGCATACGTCAATATCTGTAGTATGGAGTATATTCCAGCATGAGTTAAGCATTGATTACAGAGGGATCCATTTATACGCTAAAACATGAATTTAAATTCTTTTCCATTTATGCTTATTTATTAATTATTTTACTAATTTAATTTACTATAGTAAGATTCTAATATGATAAAAATTGAAAAATTATAAATAAACCAATGATAAAATGCTATACAATTAAATATTAGATTTTCCCGCCATTACTGGGCACGAAAGAATTCGTTTGCAACTTTAATTTAAGGGAAACGGAAGGTATATAGCTTTGTGTGGCACTGTGATCGTTGTGTAAAATTTCCCCGCAGATTTCTCTGCGTTCCGTTGTGCAACCGGGATTAGTGGAGCTTGTGTCGCATACACGTATTTATTGTATCTACATACATATAAACTCATGTCGGCACAGCTTTGTAGTATTTTCTGAAAATTATCCAAAAATTTCTACTCGTTTCTACTGGGATGCTTTTTTGCAAGCTCGTCGATCCTATTTCAATGTGAGTGTATTTTTAGTGTGAAGTGGTAGATGACGGGGGGAATAGATGAAGATATTACCGGTATCTATCAATTCTTATTCACTTCGTGTTTATTATATATTATAATGTACAAAGCAAAAAACTAATTATGAACCATATCCAACCTTATTTATCTCGTTTAGAGCACATACAGCTATGAATATCAGACGCGCATGTGTTAACACGCGTCTTATCTACAGCTATCCTTTTCTCACATCCGAGGCAATGAGTAGGTGTTTGGCGATTCTAACCGACGCTGTTGTCTAGGACCGGTCAAAATTTTTCTCAAAAGTCTGAATACAGAATATTTTGTGCAATTAGGTTATATAGAACGACAAAAACAATAGTCGCGCACGCTGGAGAAAACGGTAGGTAAGTGAATGAGAAACAGTAGGAGAGAAGAGGTATCGAATAACGCTTTCAGAAAAACTAGCAATGATTGCATAGTACGCGCACGTACATTTGTTTTGTATGCATGAATTGCAATAGAGTGCTTTTGTATGAATGCATAGCGGCAGTATGACCCCAGAAATCGTAAAAGGTGCACAATATACTAGGAAGTAAAAGGGGAAATTGGGTGAACGGAGGAGCAGCTTATTGCAAAGGTACTGAATCGTGAATTTACCTATTTATATAAAGGGAAAAAATGTAAAGGAGCATGTGGGAGATCGAAGGCAAAGGATGAATTTTAAACAGCATATTTGTCAGTCGAGAACAAAACGGAGCTATGTGCTCTTCTATATGGATTCTCATGCACACGAGTTGGCGGATGTATAAATACACATGCTTCTGATGAGCTGCTTTTGTGGGGGTATAGTGGCGACGACGACGGAAGCGATAGAATGGTGTTCGTCCAAATTCGAAAATTCTTATTCTACGCTTGCTAGAAGTTTGTTCTAACGGATAGAAGGGAGGGGGGCTGAATCGGAGCTCGCGCGCAATTCATCCGTATAGAAACGAGAGCTCAGAGAAGCGAGGAAATCCCCAGCAACCTCCAGCCGATCGCTGTAAGCGAGAAAAAGACAAAGAGTGCCTTTGTATTCTGTAAGTTTTATTCCGCGTAAAATAATTTAATGGACTCATGCACATTGATCTTTATTTACTGTCGTGAATAAATTTATACGGATTCTGTCCTGTTTATTATAGGTTCTACCCGCAACTCCATAATGTTTTTTGTAAATGCTTCTTAGTTTGTTTACAATTGTACTTGGTTGTTCTCATCTAGCAATTTTATCTTGCTTTATCGAGGTCCTTTTTATGGTTTTATGAAAAAGAATAATTCTTTTTATTCGCTTTGCCCACTTCGTTCCAATGCATTGCTTTTTTACTCAATATCAACGTATTTAAATTTATATATGTATCAGTTTTAAATTAAATATAGCGTGTGTAGTTTTGAGGTTACAATCATAGGATGCACACAATTGAAGTGTAAATTATAAATTTGTATATGCCGGTTTAAAAGAAATCAATTGTTTTACCTTCGCTTTATTTCACATGAGGGTATATCTTATTCGCTTGTTTGAAAATATGTTATTTCGACTGTTATATAGGATTAACATTTGATTCATCAAATAGTCAATTACATAGAATTCTGTTGTAAATAAACAGTGAAATAACCAAATGAGTTCTAAATCATTTGAAATATTATGAATTGAAAATTAATTTCATTGGAAACCAGGGTTTTTAGGTACTAATTCAAATTTAAGAGATTTTGTATTTATATTGTAAATAATAGTTATAGTTAAAAATTTTGTATTTTTAAATAAATTATTTCAGAATAAGAAAACTAGCTGAGAAAAGCAAAAACTTTGAATATGGAAGGAGGTGATGGCCCTTCAGCCATCAGTATAAATCCAAATACCATTAAAGGTATGTTTCAAAATAAATATCCAATAATTATTGAAAAAATGACAATCTAAAATATAAATACATATTAAATAATTTTCCATCTAAAACAATATAATAATAATTTTAGAGCTTAATTTCATTAAATCATTAGTTAACAATAATAAATTATCTATTATCGTTTTAAAATTATTAGCTGCTCAAGAAGAAATGGGAAGGTTAGATGTTTTAGTTTGTGGACAATGTCATTCTGTTTTTCATTTTATTGATGAATTTCAAGAACATCGATCCAAAGAAGGAGCTTGTTCAAAACTTTCACATTTTCGAGAAAACAGTAATGTAAGTTAAGTTTAAATTTATAGGTAATTTAAGTTTTAGCTTTATTTTTACATCATTAATTAAAACAACTAAAAAATTTTTAGAATGAGCAAAAGGCACAAGTATGGGCATTTCTTTTATGGAAAGATACACAGATTCAACAAGATAGTCCTGATAAAGATACTGTGAATTCTTGGAAATTATATCAAAAATGGTGTAAAATGGAAACTCATGTAAGAGATTGCTGGATAATGGCTGGTAAAACTATTCAAACTTTTACAAAAATAAGTAATACAAAGATGCAAGATATACCACGTCAACAAGGAAATATTACAACTGAAGGTCAGTATAATCAAAGTTATAGATATTCTTAACTAGATGTTATATATATGTATATTTTTGACAATCTTATTAAAGTTCTTAAAATATTGTCATTTAATTTATAAATATTTATTTTAATAACTAAAAATATTTTTAGATATCATTTATAAATATAAATAACTGATACTTTAGCAAGAAATTATACTTTATTATTTATGCAATATGTAACTTATAGAATAAATATAATGTATATTACATAATTTAATTGTAGGTAATAAAACTATTGTTGTACGTAAAGTAATAAGAAATGGACAACCAGAAAGTTCTGATAAAAAAGAATTTAAAGCTGAAGCTAGACTTAAATCAGAACCTGCTGAAAATAAAGATAAAATTAAATTAAAACCTTCAATTAAACCAAAGGTAAAGATATCTATATTTGTAAAATTCGTGGATAGTGTACATTAAAATTTGATGATCAACATTTATTATTTTAAATTTAACAGGGGAAACTAAATATAATTGGTGAAACTAATGCTGAAACTAGTGATGAAGAATATATTGTCGAGAAAATTTTAGCAAAGCGTTTTAACCCAAAGAAAAAAGTCTATGAATACCTTTTAAAATGGGAAGGATATGCACAGTAAGTATTTCTCTTTTTTTCCTTCAAATTATTAAATATTTAATTCAATTGAAACCACACTTTCAATATTCACTTTGTATTAATTCTAATATAACTTGTAGTGAACATAATACATGGGAAGAAGTAGCACAAGTGAGTATGACATGTAAACAATTAATGGAGGAATTTGAAAAGAATTTAGCTAAACAAAAAGAACTTAAAGCACAACAAGTAGCAAAATCTATTAATCGTGCAAATCAGTTAGGACTGGGACAAAAAATCTTTAAAATTGACAATGTTAAAGCAGGACCTAGTACTGCAACTCAGGCTGGGTAAATGTCCTATTTTCAATAAATATTAAAGTTTATGATTAATATATTTTAATATGAAATTTTTTTGGATCGATAGAAGACCAATGCGTTCAAGTAAATCCAAGGCAATGGATCAAGTAAAACAGTGGTGTGGATCTATGAAAGAAGAAGATAATGATTGTAAGTACATAGAAACTTAAAGTGAGACATTAATTTGAATTATTAATATATCTGTACTTATCACTTTTTTTAGAAAAATGATATATTTAATATTAAATGTAACTTTATATACATAAAAAAATATAAATATATTTTAATATATCTATAAAATAATTTTTAATAGTGCTTGGAAAACGGAAAATTGCATTTTCGGACAGCGACTCAGATGATGATGGTATTAGTGGTATTGGTTCAATCAAACGTTCCAAAATTGAAACGAGCGGTGACGATGATTGGACTGCTGATTCTGATGAGGATAAAGTTATTATCGGTCGCAGCGATGTAATTCAACGCGCTTTTAATCGAGCAAACGTCCAATCTAACGGATCAAATCGTTCGAATGTTCCGATGACCGGTACTGATCTCACCAACAACATGATTGCCAACAACAAAAACATAGTAAAAATAGACACTAAGCAATCATCTAATATTCAACAGCAAGGACAATCTAATATGTACATAGTGCATCGGAAGGATGGTATAATAAAATTGGATTCTTCGCCTACGAATAAAATATCGGTAAAAGGTCCGTCACAGTCTGTAGGAAACAGTGTTCTAATGTTGCAGAACCGTGACGGTATTAGTAACGTAACAAGAAAGCAAGTCATATCCTCTAATTCACACGTCAATTCGATAACCCCTGTGAAAGTCATATCAAAGCCTGACGGCACTCAAGTTGTTACACAAATGAAGGTCGTGCCCAAAGGTTCTCCATCAAAACTAGGTGCAGCAGTGCCTAAGAATGAGCCTATTAAGATTCAACCCAAGCCAGAACCTAATCAACTACAACAAATTCACCTCGTTACAACGATACCGAGTCCTTTAGGTTTACAATCTCAGCGTATGACATCAAATATTAGGACGAGTGGACGTGGTTTAGACGGTCGACCGTTGCTACCACGACCTGCAGCTCTGCGTGCTGCTGTGCCTAATTCTCCTGGGATTATGAGTATAACGCAGACACGAACGCCAGTACGAGCACCGCCTCCGCGACAGGTCGCACCTCAAGCTCTCGGGATGCAGCAGCAGCGACCATTACTTCAGAAACGGCCTGCAATTCCCTCAACACTCGTACAAGTTTCTTCATCAGGCGTTCTTGTAAATACCCGACCTAAAATAACTGTGGTCAATCAACAGGGCAAGGTCATTCAGAAAACGCTAGTAAGCCCATTATCTAAAATGGGGACGTCGGGTAAAGGTCAGTCGATGGTTACACCTCAGCAAAAAATGTTGATAGCTCGACGAAAAGTGGCTGAGCAGGCAGGTATGTTGCCGAAACTTGGAGCACGTTCGGGGTCTGGGGCGGGACGGGGTGGCGGCACGCGTTTGCGTGGTCGACCTATAGAAAATACGCGTCCCAAGGAAAGTAAGCTAGTTGAATCAGATGGTCTGCATATGGAGTTTCACGAATTGGAGTCTGAAAGTAGCAGTGAAGAGGAACCAGATTTTCCGCCAGTATCAACAGAGCCGACCCAGTCTACAGAGCCTGATAGTCCACCTCGACAGTTTACGCTTTGTCCATTGACAGGTCGTATCATTGGCCCGGATGGTGAACCCGTGGAACAACAACCAGATGCGGAACCTGTCCCAGTAGTATCTACATCTACGCCCATGGCCATCGTACAGGTCGCGGGGGTCGAAGGTGGTACAGTTGCGGCTTCGGAAGAAGCAGAACTTGTCTTGCCGAATCTAGAAGCGCTGGCCGAGAGCCCAGACGGTGGGGTAATGCGTGTAGAGATGAGTCCCGGCGGCACTACAGGCACAATCCTTCAGACTGGCGACAATGCAGTAGTAGGCTTGCAGAGTAGCATGGTGGTACCAGGCCCTGATTTACCTTGTCTTGACGATCCGTTAGTTGAGGTGCAGAATTCATCGGAGGCAGTTACTACGATCACTGATACTAATGTTTCAGTACCTGAAGATGAACCTAGGCCGGAAATGCAAGTAATACCTGTTACAGTGTCAAAAGAAGATCAGAACGTTGCCGCGACCGTTACTGCTAACGTAAAAATGGAGGAGGGTGGCAGTTTGGTAACAATAACTGGTGATGATGGAGTCGTTTATCAGGTTACGGGGCACGCTGAGGACGGACAGACGCTATTGGTGACAAGGGGTGCCGACGGTGAGCAACAATGTGTATACGTAACGACGTCAGAACAGCAATGCGAGGAGGGTTCGGTGCTTACGCTCGATCATGCGGTTGCCGAGGCCGTGGCACAACTCATGCCTGATCAAGTTAATCTTGCACCTCAATTCTATGTAAAGGAGGCAACCGAAAGTGAACTCGAAGGAGCTACCAGCGTCGGCACTGAAAACCAACAGATGGTTATGTCAGTTATGGATAATACGAACACGGTCGTGGCTAGTGGTCAAGAGGACGGTGAGAATCAAGCGCAGGTCGTTGCACAAGTCATCCAGGCTGACGAACCTACACCAAGTAATTATTTTAATTCGTAATTTCATAATTTTTTAAAATTTAGAATTATAATTTTTATCTTAATTTCATTATATAATTTGGAATTACTATTATATGTTCAGTATTTGTTATTTTCATATTAATAATTAATTGATTTATCAATATTTATTTGATTAAATTTGTATATTTGCGTTATTAAAAATAATTAACACATTCTTATCCATAAAAGTAGAATAAGAATTAATTTTCTCTTCAAACAGAATAGATATAACATTTTTTTAATATACTAAACTACAATTTATAATGAAATAAATTCAAATTGCATATTGAACTGAATTTTATTAAATTTTTAGTTGAAAAAGTTTGTATACGTTAAAAATACTTTTTAAATAAAATAATTTATATTGATCTTGTTAAATAACTAAGAAAACTTATTCAAATGAATATATGTGTTACAAATGAATATGCTTTTCAATTATGTCAATTATTAAATTTTATATTTTATGTCACTATTGTTTATAAGAATTTAAAATCTGTTTTATAATAAGTTATATTTTTTAAAAGGTGGTACCAGAAGAGTAGTGTTGCTACTGCCTGACGGTAATTTAATGATGACTGAAGTTGATGAGGAACAGTATGCAGCATTAGAACTTGATAAGTGAGATAACTGCAAGTTTTATGGTGAAGTGCAAAGAACTGTACAAGTTGCAAGTGTTTGTGTATTGTATGTAAATAAAGACTTTCTATTAATGCGCAATAGTAAAGAAATATAATACTTTTTAGCCAATAATTACATTAAAGTTATAAGTGGCTTTGAGGTATAATGTAAAAAGAAAGGAAAATTACAAATTGGACAAAATAATCTATGTTATAGATTAAGCACATATTTTAATAATTAATGTTTCAGTATCCGATATTTCACTGATATTTTAATTTAAAAGTTTATTTATAATTTAAAGAAAATGAACAGTGCATACTATTATGAAAATTATTACAATTTATAAATAATACTATTATATATATCTCAAAAAGATGTTGTACCTCTAGAAACTGAGGTACAATCTAGGATTTTATATTTTAAAACAGACAGGACGATGTAATTCAATAATCACTAATTAACTTTTATTTTCATATTTTTATTAGTTTAAACTTATCTAAAAATTAGATCTTGAATCTAGTTAGACTTACATAAAAATTTTACTGATATACTACTTAAAAATAAAATTTTATTTTCCAATACTTTTTCTTTTGTTCAGAAGGTACTAACAATAATTTATCACGTATTATATGTTGTAGGTGGATTTTTATTCATGAGTACTTATAAAAATAATATTCAAAAATTTCATATTATTAAAAATTAGCGAAAGTATTATATTCAAATAAGGTAAATATGAGGAATTTAAGTATATATAAAATCTAAAATATATTTTATTTTTATTTAAATTATATATAAACTCTCGCATACATCAATTATAATTTTATATATATTTGTATTATTTATGCGTTTAAAAAAAAATCAAACAATTACTAAAATATTTTTGCATGTACATAGATTATTTATAACTTTATTTTCAAATATTATTAAATATTTCTACAACTATTTAAAATAATTTACAACAATTAAAGAATTTTAATAGTAATTAAATAGTTTGATAATAAATTTAAATAACTTAAATAATACTTTACTAAGTTTATTTATAATCGTTAAAATATAAAATGTCAAGCTAGATTCAAGAGTCAGTTAAATTAAAAGTGTTTAAAAAAATGTAAATTTGTTGTAGAAAAAAGTAAGAAGTTAGAGAGTATATAATATAAAATCCTGGTGAATTAGGGGCTATATCTTTTGTAAATAATATCACTTTGTTTGTTTATATAAAAGTTATTTAGTAATAAACTATATGCATGAAATCAATTGATATGGTTTAACACAAAATAAACAATCGATAACTAAATAAATTACTGATTTCACAAGAAACAAAATAAAAATAGGAAATTGAATAGATAATATTAAATTTAATAAATATCAAATACATACGGTATTATTTCCTAGTTAATGTATTTACTGGAGTAAGAATTTTTTGAATATCTATTTAATTAATTCAATATTTAATTTAAATAAAAGCAGTTGTCAATTTGCTAACCTGAAAAATAATCTTCAATTTAATAGATAAATAAAATATTAATGAATCTTCATAAATTATTTTATTAAAATTTATAAACTATTATTAATGTTAGATTTACTGAAATAATTTACTAAATTTGACTATATATATGATTAGATATAAAAAATTACATATTGTCAAAGGATTTTAATAAAGTACAGAACAAATTTATAAATATTCAGAAGTATCAAGTTAAAAATCGAAATTTGATTTTTTCCAGATAAAAGTTTTATTTATTCAGGTCAGTAAAATTATAACAAAATGGAAATTAATAATATTATTATTTATTATTTAACAAAATTCAATTAAGAATATAATTTAATCTTGAAGAAAATTTGTTTTAAATACAAAAAAATTTAATAAATAACATAGAAAGTTTTAGGGTAATTCATAATTGAAAAAAAACATCTGTATCTAAAACTTCAGTGCACACATGTTTCAACAACAAATTAATTTTAATCCTATTTAAACATTACATATTATTTTTCATGAATAACAAGTATTAATCAGAAAAATATATCAATTTTGTTTTAAACTAATTTATATTTTTATTCAATTAATCATTAAATTATTTTATTTTAGTAATTATATTAAAAGTTAAATGGTCTTGATGAAATCTCGAAAGAGTATTATGAAACTACAAAGGCATAGAACAATATTAGTAGCAATACCTGAACTTATTGAATTTGTTAATTGTGAATCAAAAAGAATTTACAAGGTAGGTATACATGGTATAAAAGATAATGTTTTGTTGTAACTTTTCTTTCAAAAAACTACTTTCTCGTCACTTCAGATTTAAATCAACCTATTATGCATCATATTCCATTGCTTGCGTTTAATCAATGCATATATTTATTTGAAGCAATAAAATTAATAAATGTTTATTTATATATAACATATATATATGTATATGACATAAATTAATTTATATTAAAAATTATACATAAAATTGGAGTCATTTTATAAAACAAATGTAGGGATATAATATCAGCTTAATATAAATTTCATAAATTTGTAGAATATATTTCTAAAAAAGTAAAATAATACTTTTTGGTTTATAATACTTCTATAAATATATTTGAATTACAAAGTTTCTTTGTATACTTTCTAATAAGTTTATTAAATAAATAAACTCATTTTAATGAAATTTACATTAATGAAGTTTACATAATATATAAACATTTTCAGTGAAACCACAATTACAGTTGGACTTCAGAAGTTGCACGTACTTGTTATAGATACTGATTTATGATTTATTAAATTTATTTGATTCTTTTATACAACTGTATTTAAAAATAAATTGAGTTGGGATAAATCCTTTACTATGAAATAATATATTAAAATCACTAGAACTACATTTTATTGCTCAGTAACATATTTTCCTAACATTTAATTAGTATTTGTAAAAATTTAGCATATTTTTTTATTTTGTTTTTATATCGTAATAAACTATTTTATTGTGCTAATATTTTAAAATATTTTATAGTTATAATAATTAAGATTTTACAAAATTCTCAAACTAATATTAACATTTTCCTTGAATGCATGTCTTAATACAGAAAACTGTAATCCTTCAAAATATTGGAATGCAAATAGCACGATTTAAGATTGAAAGTAGACCTACCAAGTCGGCTTTTGATATTTGTATTGAATCCGTGGAAAAGAATGGCAAAAATATAGCGGCAGGTATGCATGCGAAACTCGTCGTACAATACAGATGCGATGGATTGAGCGAACCAGAAGAGACACTCATGATACATGTGTATAACGGAAAATCTATTATTGTTAAAATGAGAACTTTTCGGAATTCTCCTATTTTAAGAGGTTTTCTTACATTACTATTTTTAAAAAATTCAATAAAAATAAATTTAAGAATATGATTATATATTGTAAATAATCACATTCCAAATAGTAAAATATAGTAATTTTGATAATCACTTTTTAGATGAAATATATTTAATTTGTATTGCAAATTATATACTTAGTTTTACTTTACAGTGCTTAATTATTAAATTATTCATTTCCATAAAAACTTCGAATATTTTATATGGAGTAAATATAGTTACACAATTTATTAATAATATAGATTTGATTATGACCTTTGAATGAATATAGTTATTATTTATTAGAACTAAGTAAATTATTTATTTTAATTATATTTTAATATACTACCCGAAATATATTTTCGCTCCTCATTTTTTGCATGAATATGATTAATAAAAATTTAAATATAAAGTGTAAAGATTAATAAATGATCCTAAAATTTTGATTATACTACGCTTTAATATATAAAATGATTTACATTTTTTAATAATTACCACAATTATAATACTCATAAATAATATAACAGGAAGCCATCAATCACATATTAAATACATGTAAAATAATTTTCTTATTATATTCTGTTAAGAAAAAAAATATCCAATAGATAATAATAGATCAAATTTCCTTTTAAATAATTTAGAAAATAATATTGCATTTTAAATAACAAAAATGTTTTTGTTTTAGTATTTTCATCGTCAACTTCTTTTGAATATGTTTCATTAAGTTCAGATTTAGCAATAGAGAAATTATCTACTGAAACCAAAACGGTAAATAAAAAAATGACATAAAATTTTAATTTGTTGATAATATATTTATGTGTATTAATTTATAGTTCTTAACTCAAGTTTATACTAACAGTATAAAATCACGAAGTGCACTTACGAACAACATAGTTCACATAAATATTAATTTCAAAATGTGTTTTGTGGGCGAACTTATTATTATTTCAAAAATTTTGAAAAATATTGGCGGGAAAGCGAGATTTTTTATAATGAGTGAATTCGATTGGCGCTTCATGGAAATTCAGGTACATACAGATAAATTTTGAAAAAAATTATAAACTATTTTACAATCTTTGAAAATTAGCAAATAATAATCATCTGGCTAAAATAAAAAATTATCAAAAACTATTAAAATTATTAAAAAATACAATACTATTGTGCTGCTTTAAATTTCCTTTATTTTCCTTACTTTTGTAGATAAATTATTGTTGAAATTAAATATGTACATGGATTTTTGCAAAAAAATTATTCCTAATTTTAAAATCTAATTACATGATTATAGGAAAATTTTTAATCGCATTGTATAGAAAATGAAAGTCTACAATTGGTTTTAATGCATTTTTTATATTTAACAAATATATATGTAGTTTAAATATTTATCGAAGTATATTTAAATGTTTGTGTATGATTAATATATTTATAATATAAAATCATCTAATGTAGAAAGCCAATATTTTGTTAAATGTATTAAAAATGTTTAATTTATTATATCCCTTCAATTTATAAAATTGCTTATTTTCGAATTGTTATACATAATTCATCTATTTAGAAAAACTTACTGAAATTTTTACGAAAGAGTTGTATTTTTGATTATCATTACAATATTTTATTTTAAGTATAGAAATATTATCTTTAATACATTACCTTAGTATCATAAAATTATCTTGAAATTTTTTCCTAGTTCATTATTTATTATGTTATTAAAAAGAATAAATTATTATAATAAATGTATTCAATACAAATATGAGATAAACTTTTTCTCTCTATATATTTATTTACGAGCTATTTAACTTTAAAGAACCTTTTAAATGAATCAATTTTAAATAAATAAGCCTAAATTTTAATTTTATGTATGTGTTAAAAATATACACATTCCAACATTTTAAATACTTTGAATCTTATATTTTTACTATTTTATGGATTCTGTATTGAATATGATAATAATGGTAAATTATCTCCGTGAATGTGTAAATATGAAAATATAACTACACATTCGTAATTTATAAATTATTATAAAATCATTATTCTTTACAATATAAGACGTAATTTTATCTTAAATATGTTAAAAAAATTCGTTTAAAATCAACTTTTTATTAATATGCAATTGGTTGAGTTTATATTCTTAGCGTTTATTGTGTCATAATAAATTTTAATTATAGATAATTTATGAAATATAATTGACTATTCTAAAATTTACTTTAATTTAAATATTGGTATTAATTAATAATCAGTATAAAAAATTAATATAAAAGTGTATTATTATATACACATTAAATATTTATAAAATATAATTGTAATATCTTTTTACAGGATCTTATGATTACAAATAAATTAAATATTCCTCCTTTCGCATTTTGGCCATCATATTTTGTTTTGCAGACAGATGAACAATTAATATTGTATTCTTATTTTTATCCAACTTCGAATGGGATACAAGTAATTAGGACATTTTACTTTTTTTTCAGAAATTTTTTAATTTATTAAAAAATTTTTAATTTATATTTTTAGACTGATCAATTATATATTATAAGCGATAATTGTTCATTGAAAACAATTGAAGTTGTTGGCAATGGTGTAATGTTTGAACCTCATTTAATTCAAATTGATCAAGTAAAATAGATTTTTCTTTACTATGTTTTATAAGAAACTATTTAATCAATATTAAATATATTTATTTTTACTTTCAAGTTTATATTTATTATGCAATGATTTGTAATTAAAAAAAAAATATATTGATTTTGAAATGACAGTTTATCGGTACACTCGTACTAAAATTAATTAATAATATGTCGAGCAAAATATTTATTTCGAATTTTAAATTACATAGATATTATTAATATCTTAATAAAATACCTTACATGTTATGAACATTTCTAATCCTAAATAGATTTCACAATACCACTATTTTTAACGACACAATAACCAAATATTGAACAAAATTCTGTCGATTTAGCAAAAATATAACTTTAAAAATGCAATTATTAATTATTTTTCTCATAAATGCTAGATTTTATTTTTTTATACTTTTATAAATACTTTTATACACCATTTCTTCTAAAATTGCTTTTCAAAATTATCTTCGATTTTTATTCTTGGAAATTATATGCACATAAATTTTAAAAGACTTTAATTTTCTCTAATAAAACAAAAATTCAATAAAAAATTTGTTTAACCACGAACCTTTTGGTTAAAAAATTGATTGGCATTTATCCAATGCAAATTCTCGTTTAAAATTAAAAATCCCTATAGAACTGCTTGTACAGACTGAAATATGTATAATTATATATGAAAAAAAATGATAATGATAATATATAATTTTTATAGCGTTGTGTTAAATATCAATGGTATCGAACAAAATTAAATGAATTTATAACAATTCGATATTTAGACCTAGGAACTGGTTGTTTCAATGATGTTCTCACTACGTGTTTTACTGTTATAAGTACATGGTAATAAAATTATCAATTATTTTTATACTCTTATATATAACTTGAATAATTTCTTAATATTATAATAAATGATTTATTTAAAGATTTTGTGAAATAATTGCTACAATACTATATATTTCTATATAACATTTCTATTTAACATACAGTATGCATCATTTGCAAATTACAAGTATAATAGTATCCATTATATTTTTACGTGAAATTAGAAATTATAATTTTAACGAAAATTGAATAATATTGTAATTTTACATTATTAATGAATCATCGGTGCAATAATATACTATGCTTAACCATTAAAAATACATATGTAAAGTATCGACGTAGTAACATTTTAATTTTTAATTATGCTTACTATTTATATTTTTAAATAAATTTTAAAAAATACTATATAAAATACATTCTATAAAATTATTATTTTAGTAAAATTAATAATCGTAATTTGGTATTATTAAATTATTATTACTATTATATTAGAAGATTTCACAATAGCGATTATTCTTTTTCAAAAATAAATACATTGCATTGAATATAAATTCATTACGTTCTTCAAATAAATATTGTTCATCGATATATTACAATTTAAAAAGCTATTCATAAATATATTTAAAAAAAACAGATCAGTACAAGATTATTATCTAATAAAATTCTAAAATATAATGCTAATGTTTAACATTACTATAAATATATTATTTTAAGTGAATTAAACTTACACTATCGGTGGGAAATAAATAACAAAATAGTTTATCCGACTGAGTATATAAATCTTTTTGCGAAAAAAGATTTGTGTCCGTCTCAAATAAATATTAAACCTAGTTGTGGAATATTTCAACCAAATTCGACTACACCATTCAAAATATTAGCATATTTGAATAATATAGCTCCTGGACAATATCGATCAAATCTACGGTATAATAATATGTATCATATTCCCAAATAGAAAGTATTTTATTTTGTGTGGGGAAATAAATAAAATTATATTTTCAGATTAATTATAGAAGATATACCATTTGCTGCTATTGCAGAAAAACATAATTTTTCCTTTGAAGATAGTAAATTAAAACAACGGCTTTGTGAAAATGTAATCAAACCTAATATATTTCATTATTATGTTAGAGTATAGATTTTATATATTTATTTGGTATATTAAGATTATAGATAAGTTACGCAGTATTTAATTGAGATTTACACATTATAATTGTAGAGTACATTATAAATGAGAAATAACATAATATATTTGTGTGTGTGTGTGTGTGTGTGTGTGTGTGTGTGTGTGTGTGTGTAACTTACAAGTTGCGAAACAAACTTTCAATAAAAACTAAATAGTCGATTTTATATTTTTTATATTTTTCAAAACATAACAATCGCTTCATAACTTTAATTTCAAAATATTGTGTACCCAATTTATAATTTTATAGATTATTATTTTCATTAGAATTCAATAGATTATATTATGAATGAAAAGTTAATTAAGATTAGAATTGATATAAAATTAAATTTTTATAAATTCAAAACAGGTACATCTTCTTGTATTTATGGGTTGCTATTAACGATTATATTTAAAATAAAAAATTAGCTTAGTAAAGTCTTTTATCTAAGTCTATAGTTGTTTTTCGACGCCTTTGTTTTAATAATATGAAGTTATACTTTTATATAAAATATAATAAATATTATTTATTATTCAGCTAATAGATATAGTATTTCAAAATATAGAGATACGTATAAAATGTACATCAAGAATTATAAAAATAAACCATAATTTAAGTAACAGGTAATATATATTTAATTAAAAATTTTACATTCTGAGTGTCGTCCGTTTAAAAAACCTAAAAATATTAATGCTTTGTTAATTAATAATAATTTTGGTCTAAAGCCAAATTTAAAATTATTTTAAATATCAGTTCTGATAAGAGAAATATATTAAATATGAATTATCACCATTATAATTTATTTTCGTTTTATATCGTCTTGAAATAAATAAAACGTTTGTCTATTGGTAATATTTTTACACATTAGTTTACTAATTTATAATTTTATTATATTTGAATGCATATTTTCATAAAAAATGTTTCATTTTTGGCACTCGGAACTAGATGACCTTTTCATAATAAAGTTTATAACGTATAAAATGCGAATATAATTTTATCAACAGATCAGAATTTAAAAATGATGAGGATTTATTAAATTTATCATTATCAAATAGTACAGATTTTCATAAAAATTCTCTATTTTCTAAGAACCATTTACAATATAATATAGAAGAATTATATGATTCAAAGCAAGATAGTTTTTGCTATTTCACGCAAGAATATGGGATTTGTGATTGCAATAAAATATTCAGAAATAATTCAGCGATATTACGACCTGGAAGGTTTGCAGATTGATTTTTATTTAAAGAAAAATAAAATAACTTATTTGTCATATTTATAAAGATTTATATTAAGGTACATATTAATAATATTGTAAATTATGGTGAATATAAAAATGTGACAATACATCTTTTATCTCTTTATTTATTTCTCTAAATTGTTATACTTGTTACGTATTAATGTTAATTGTCATAGTATAGAAAGAGTTTATTTGTATTAATGATTTTAAATGGGTGTTTTCTTATGTATTTAAATAAGAAAGAAAGAGAGAGAGAGAGTGAGAGAGTAACGCGATAAGTTGTTGAATTAGATTGCATCACGGAAGCATAATCGATTTAAAAATCATAACTCCGATAATAGTATGGCTACAGATTCCAATTTTTCACTATCACGTTCATTATTTTATGATAATTATATAAGGTTTCACTATATCTTTCTACTAAAGTTGTACTTGAAATATTTAATTATTCTGCAATTGTTTCTTTTCTGCATATTCCTCTATAGGTTTCGGATTATGTATTATGCCATATTATCCTTAAATACATATCATTGATATAGTTATCATTACCCTTGACTATGTAAATAATGAAACATGATTTTTTTTTAAAACCTAATTATAAAAAAATATATTTATTTTTAAATATATTTATCTATAAACAAGACAAATTTAAATGATGTAATATATTTTTATTTATATAATAGACATTTCTTTAATATTCCATCTTTAAATATAAATACTAGATTAATTATTATAATAATTTATATTATATTTGAAATATAAAATAAATAATGAAATAATTAAACATTACAGTCCAATTTATGTCGGTGTTGAAGTTGAATTTTATTTAGTTATTCGGAATCAAAGTTCTAAACGATTACTGTATTGGTGGGGTAATATTTTGGGACAAGATCGTACTAAAATAAATATTATGTTTGAACGAAAATATAATTTTATTTTGCCATATTCATCTGACGTTATAAAATTGATATTATTACCCTTGGAAACTGTAAGTAAATTACATATATTTTTTATAAATAAACCTTAGAATTAAAAATTCGTATTTTTTTAATTTCAGGGTAATATTTCTTCAATGTATATAACATGTGAATTTAACGATAAAAGACCACTAATTTTATCAATAGAGTGCACCATTCAATCATTATGCATTGCTTTCTACTTTCCTTTAGTATGTGAAAAGAATATGTCATTATTAAATCAATTTCGCATTGAATGGAATGCAAATGATTATGTATCAATATGGGATCATAAAGTAAATAAGTATTCAGAAATATTTATATATTTTAGATTTTTTTCATTTTTCTTTTGTTTTTTAGACAAAACGAATAAAATTACTTGCTGAAAAGTTAAACAAAGAAAAATTCTTGCACAGTACTGTTTTAAGCAATAACAGTATTAATTCGTTAAAACAAACAAACGTAATAGAAAGCAGTTGTGCGGGCGAAGTATAATATGTTATTTTATAAATAAAGTTTTATAATATTATAAAATAATGTTAATAATATTAATTTTCTTAATAGGATGAATCATTACGATATAATAACGAACAGAAGAAAACTAAGATCAATAACATTAAAACCAGTTTTTATTGTAGGGACTTAATAGATGATAATTGGAACAAAGAAACATTATTGGATAGTATCGATTATAGTCAAAAATTAAAACTATTAACCTATTCAAATTTTTATCACGAATTTGTGAAACAACACTTTCGTTATGTACCTCTTATTATTGAATTTTATATAGTATCTGGGAAAAGTAAGTTTAATAAATACCTATAACTATATCTATCATTATTAAATGGATTAAAAACATGATATTTTTAGGTGAAAGAAAACGCATATTTTTACGTAATGAAAGTCCTATAGCAAGTTCATTTTTTTTAAGTATAAAAAATTTTATGAATAGGTCTAGCATTGGAAACAAGGACGAGAGTAATTATTAAATTATATATACATATTAATGAACAAAATATATTAGAAATTATGTTAATTTAATAATAATTTTTATTGGGATTAAAAATATATACATACTTGAAATAATATTAATGAAAGAACGTTTGAAAAAATGAAAAGATTTGCTTTATTTGTATTTTACATTTAAAAATTATCAAAATTCAAGATTAATTCACGTGATTTTAATACATTATTATTATCAGGTTTAATAAACTTGATCGATATATAGAATCCCTATATCTAAATTTAATTTCTTGTGTTCCATATTTGAAATATTCTTAAGACAGTATTCTTATAACAATATAGTTATCAATTTAATAGAATAATGAAAGATACATAGAATAAAAAAGATTATGATATTATTTTATATTATTTTAATAATTTAGTTATTACTAATATACTTTTTATTGATTAAATGATTTGATTAAATTTATTTTAAAAAATTAATTGAACTACATAATTAAATTCCATTTTAAAAAGCCTTCTCTAATTTTTTTGATAACTAATATAATTCTTTTTTTTCTTAAATATTTCATATGATATAAATACTCCTATGTATATTATATATTCTACCGAAAACATTATTTGTTATGTTTTTATTTATTACACTTAATTTTGTCTGTTGAAATAATGCAAAGATGTGTTATGTCTTGCTGTTTTTATGTATTTTAATTGTAGTCATACTAAATTATCATCTATGAATTAACAGCGAAACAAGCATGCTAATTCAATAAGAATAACTAATAAAAATATATTTTTATAGATATAAATTCTTTAAACAAAAATCATATTCATAACAAATTACTGAATCAGTATATTAATGTATTATTAATAAATAAATTGAAGAAAATATTATATTATTAATGGGTTATAAATAATTAAACAAATAATTAATTATAATTGGGTGTACAAATTTAATTATAAAAAACTAATTATTAACTTTATTTTAAATGAAAATAATCAATTACTATAGATGAATTCAATGAATATAAATTAGAAGTCGTATTAACTGTTGAACCTTTAAACGGCATGATTGAGCCGAATGAAATGATGTTTTTTGACATAATTGCAAAAAGCAATACATGGGGTATATATACCGATTGTATCACAATTAATATCGACTTATTACCTCCATACACATTTTGGATCCGTATAATTAATAATAATTTGCCAATCTCTTATCCAATTTATAGAAAGCCAACAAAAATTCCAAAAATACGGTATGTAATCAAAAATAAAAATTTAATTACGTTATAGATTCGATTCATATAGATATTGAACACTATTCAAAGTTTTGAAATATATTTATATAAGATATGAATAATGATAAAAATATTTTTATTGAAATCAATTCATGTTATCTGCTTTTTTGTACTCAATACTTATATAAATATTGTTATAAAAACAACCTGAAATTAGTACCAAATTATAATTTTTAGGTTTAACATTTTTACGTCTGATATCTCAACGAAACATAGAAAATTGTTATTAAAAAACACAAGTACAATTCCATTATATTTACATTGGTATTGTTTTACCATTGCTGAAGATACTGAAGTGAAACCATTCAATACCATTCTAGATATGTTTAGTCCGTTTATCGACATAAATGAATATTTATTGGGACAAAATGATTTTATCAAAGAAATTGAAAATTTTTTCAGTTGTGCATTAAATCCTGATGTGTCAAAACAGAATTTATCTAATGATAATAAATCTAATAATACGAATAATTATAATGCAAGTAACACAGTCAAGATTATTAAAAACAAGTGAGTTTTGATTTTGTATTTCATATATATTAAATTTATTAATGAATTTCATGTTTAATTAAAAATAAAAGCTTAAACAAGAATTAGTAAAAGTTTATATACATTTTAGAAACTCAAGTTTTAACATGAACTCGTCTACTTCAACGAATGTCGATGACTTATCAAACGACATTGCAAATAATAAAATTCAGGATACAGAATTTCAATTTTCTCTTATTCCTTACTATGGAGAAATTACTAATGATTTATTCACTGTAAGTATGCCATTATTATAATAATACTAACACTATTCACTATAAGTATGCCATTAGTAATAATACTAACTCAAATATTTATAAGAAAATAATTATTTATCGATATATCTATGAGATATCAAGTAGCATAAATATTTTAAATGCTGAGCCGTTTTATTACAATAAATTACGGTTTATTGTTTGAAGTTTTTTTGCTATTTAATTCTAATTTTTTGTTCTCGAGAAAATGCTTGAAAATATTTCAATTCCATGATTTGCGAAACCAGTGCTTAATGATTATTCCAAAGCATATATTTTTAAATCTTATATATTATTTATAAATCTTATGAAGTGTAATATAAAAATCTTTATTGTATTGCTAAATTGATGTTAGTCACGATTCATGTCAATCTTTACGCATGTTATGCTGAGATATATAACTTTAGAATCTTCCATAAATATTATTATTATAAATTGTTATATTATTACATAATTATAAAAAATAAATGTTAGTATTTTCGCATACAATTATAATGTTACCAAATTATTTTTTACATGCTATTTGGAAAATCGCTCCTATAGTCTAATTTTGTATATAAATTAAAATATAATTTTTAATTATGATTAGGTTTATTATTTTGAAAATATTGCTCATACATTGATAATACTTATTATAATCATAAGAAAATAGTTCTTTTTGAGGAAGTCCTGCACCTCTATAAAAGATAGAAATTTAATTATAAAAATCAAACAATATTTAATATTACTATGACATTCAGAAATTATTAAATTAATAGTTTATGGTATTCTTAAAATTATTAGTGTTTTCATTTTTCAAATTTTAAATGCACTGAGAAATATCTTATTTCTAGTATTTTCATACATCTTTCCATCTGATCATTTTTTAAAACATTTTATTTTCTAGGATTATGCAAATGATATAAATTAATGTAAAATCAAAAGAATACACAAAATATACATTCAATTTTAAATTTGAAATTTCATCAATTCACGAAAATTAACGATTATAGATGCATTATTGCTACGAATGTTCATTTAAAGCTACTTTTTCCGAAAAATATATTACTATTTAGCTTATGATTTTACAGATTATACCTAAAGAATTGTTCTTACCTCCAAAAGAAAAACGTTACGTTCATATTTACGTAAATAGTGAAAAATTGGAAATCAATATTAATAAAATAAGATTTTATAAAGCCTGTGGATTTATAAGAATTCCGCCGATTTTTAAGTAAATAGTTGTTTATTGAATTATTATATGAATATCCGTAATAAAGTTTTGAATCAAGTTAATACAATCAAAATAATCTATTTTTTATATTTATATAAATAGCTTTTTATACTAATCATGACCATGAATGAATAATTAAATTTATAACTTTGTTTATGTAAATTATCCAATACATACAAGATATTTACATAGTTATAAAATAGAATATAATTATAAAATAAAATTATATTTATCTTACGTAATGAAAATAATGATTTTTATTTACAGATTTAATGACAATATATTTTTTCGAAAGGATGGATATGATTTACCACCCACTGAAGTTTACTTGGAATGTGATATACGAAAGCCCATTTTACTTGTACACTCTTGTAAATCTCAACGTACATTTAAATTCCATGTAAAGGATTTTCTGCAATATAAAAAAAAAGAACTAAAGTAAAGTCATTTATTTTCAGAATTATTCAGTATTATTCGTCTAAAAATGTATACATATATAATTACTAATTACAATAGGGTCAATAAAACAATTTTATTTAATAACCATAGTGAAGAAATCGTTGTTGTAACATTTGAAATAAACGAGCCATTTCAAATAAAGTGTGTATCTACAGAACGTGAAGTGTTCAACAGTAAATGTGTAACTATTCATCCTGGTGAAAATGTTAAAGTAATTATAAATATTTCTAAAATTCCGTATATAAAATAACGATTTCATTTATGATGGCTTCTAAAAATATGTCTGCATGTGCATATGCGAGTGCATATTTATATGTAATATTACAATTTATAATCGTCAATATCAAAAGTATATTGAAATTATCTATTATTTATATATATTATACAAACATATTAGAAGATTTATTGAATAATATTTCAGATCGAAATTAAATGTATACTTAATGAAAAATGGAAAGAAAATACAATAGAATATAATAGTACTAAAATTTCGCCATGCACTACTATAAATAGAATATTATCAATTATATGCAGAAACAGAATTATTCAGGTAAAATTTTAATATTATGAAAATTATATAAAAATTTGTTGATTTAATTTTTAAAACAATTTTTAACAAAGAACTTTTTATTTTGAATGTTCATATTTAGTTTACATTTATCAATAATATCATATTGAAACACTTTACATTAACTTTTTTATTTTTCTGAAATAATATTAAATTATTCTGTAATTTAGTTCTAATTGTTCATGCAACAAAAACATTAAAAATAATATCCAGAAACATTATAATATATAACATTATAATAGAATAATCATGACGGTTTTTAAAGATTATTATTAAATTATTAAAATATAGTTATTAAAAGATAATTATTAAAAGATTATTAAATATTTTATTACTAAAATAAATATAACACTCAACTCTTGATTCATAAGACTGATCTAGTGTCTAATATAGTGCTGAATAAATAAAAAATACTGTGTTTGTTTTGATACTGAAGGTCATAAAATTATGCTCAGAGTAAGGTTTGCAAAACAAGAATATTATTAAATATGTATTCTAGGGGATTTGGTAGCATACATATTTAAAAAAATTGGTACTACAAGATTACTATTTTAATATAACTATAAATGTAAAAAAGTCTTTAAGTTTATGAGTAATTGTATAATTAATTTCATATTTATGAATGTTACAATTAAATGAAAATATAAAAAATTTTGTAAATATGTGGTTTTCAACATAGAATATTGATTAAATAATAATTTCATAATTGCATATTTTTATAAAATAAATATAAAATAGTTTTAATATTTTATTTTTAAATACATTTTATTATTAATAGCAAATTGATTGTTTATTCTCATTAATAATAATATTTTGAATAAGTTTTTTGAAAGTTTATATACAAAAGTGAAATTTTATTCTATTATATTAAATCTATTATAGTAAAAATTCTTTTAGATAAAATATGTATTTAAAAAAATCATAACGCTACTTTAGATATATAGTACTAAGAATAGTTTTAGCGAAAAGAATTTAAATAATTTTTTAAATAATTCATTCTTTACTCATATTCGTATTCGCAATTAAATATTATTATACAAAAATATAATAATATTTTATGACTTTGCAAACAATTTAAATTCTAAATTACAATGGAAACATTTCCATAACAAATTACAGAAATAATACCACATATAATACAACCTCTAATATACCCTATAATAATATAACCTCTGATATTCTACGATATAATATAACTGTAATATGTGCTGAACAATTTATACTCCAAATATTTTTATTTACAGACCGTAGTAGTATATATAAAAATTAAATTCCCTTCACTTAAATTATCTACAATTCACTTAAATTTTGGTAATCTATTAGTTGGTGATACTAAAACTTTGATGTTCAGAGTTCAAAATTTATCAAGTAAATTATTTTAAATTTTATTCTTTTAAAATTCAGTTTATTAAATATTTATCAATTGTTTACATAGATATTTAAATATTTTTGTTGTAACTCCTAATTTATGTTTCATTCATTGATTCATAATAATTGATTGAAATATTAAAGTAAATATAAGGAAAAGTTGATTTTGATAAAACAGTAGTTATAATTATTAATTATATTACTAATATTTTTTAGATAGATCACAGTATTTTGAAATTAAAAGGAATAATAGTAAAAATGTTTTCTCTATATACCCAAGCAAGGCTTTATTATCATCACAAACTTTTAAAAATACAAATGTAATACAAATTACGGTTCGTTTTACTCCAAAGTATGTTAATTATTTTAATTATTTCGTTTCAAAATTTAAATATTAATAAGAAAATTTTATTATTTACTAAATTGAATTACTAATGAAAAAATATATATTAAAAAACTATACTATGAACTATTATTTATTGTCAAATAAAATAACATTTAAATAAAATAAAATTTAATATAATATATTATATTATTATAATTTTACATTTTAGAAATCCAAAAATTTTTAATGAAACTATTGAAATCATCTCGGAAATTGATGGTCTTATATACATCTGTACATTAAAAGGTATCGGGTACATAGAACGGAAAGTGTAAAGACCATGAACAAAATTTATAAATTGGAAATATATAATATTTAAAAGTATCTTGAGACAAATATTTTATAGAAACTATTAAGTGTATTTACATATGCTGTTGCTTAAACTTATTTTAACAAAGATTATGTATTCTATCAAGATATTATACAACAATAATATTATCTTTTAATCTTTTAATACAATAAATAAATCATTAAAAATTTAATACTTTTTGTATAAAATACAAAATTTATTTGATTGGTTACCAATTAAGCTATTATTTTATAAATTTATGAATACATTTGAAATCAACATTTTCGTTGAAATTCCAATGTTAGAAATTTTACCTATAAAATTTAAATATAAGTGTATAAATAAAGTACTATAGATGTCTGTTACATTATAGTTGTAGAGAAACTGTTTTAAAATAATATTGTTAAGTAATTGAGGAAAATCTATATTAAAAAAGTAATCATTTATAGAGGTTTTTCTTTTCTTCTAGTGAGCTAAAATTCTTACGGCTATATAGAGTTAAGTTCTTGTAGCTTAAATTTTAGAGATTCTGTTTTACCTTATCTGTTTCGATTTCTATGAAATATTTTATCAATAATTATACAGAATATGAGAGTGATATTTGTACAAAATCTCTAAATTCTTATTTATCGTAGAAATGTTAATTAATATTAAAAAATATATTTCTTTCCTCCCATAGATAAGAAAAATACATCTTATTTACAAAACATTAAAAGCGTAATTTCTTTTAGATTTATTGATTCAATTCAAACTATAGTTTGATAATAATATAAATTATTAGCTTAAACAATTAAATATAAATTACAATAAATTTATTATCACACATACACAAACTCAAATTATTTACTTAATTGAAAAGTGATTTTTGTATATAATTTGATTCTTCACACAAAATTTTAGTTCAAATTTAATTATAGTTTAATTACAAAAGAGACATTTTACAAGTTTAATATTTTATTTCGATCTTTACAAATATCGATTTGCTCTTATTTATTGTACATGGGATAAATGGCGAAATAAGTAATGAATCAATCCGTTTATGATGGAAATTATAATCCGAAGATGAAGAAGATAAAAACATGATATACTATGATGATAATTATCTTTATCGATATAATTTTTATTACTATGATTTTTTGCTAATGTTACATGATTTGAAAATATTGATATATACGTAAAACCAAATGTGCTCAATCAGAATGCAGTAGTGAAATACTTGCATATAATTCAAGATATTCGAAAAATAACCCTGATCATATCTTTTATTAGTTTACCATTTTACAATCTTACATAAGAAAGAGCATTCTAAAATTCATCATTGTATATATCAGATAGAATTTGTGCACTAGTAGCGATATATAAAAACAAATAGAATATTACAATTAATGAGTTATACAGAATTAAATAGCAAAAAATAAGGAAACGAGAAAAACAAATTTTTTCGACCAGTTTTAAGAAGCAAAATTGTTTTCGCATTATTTACTAACGTCATGTATGTTAGAATTATGGAAGACGAAAGTAAATAAGTACTAAATTAATATTGCTGGACAAAAATATTATAGCTATGCAATATTTTAAAAAAATTGTAGTTAATAATGACGCTAGTAATATAAGTGAGCCTTGGAGTTATTAATTTAATTTGTAAAAATGTAATTTATATGTGTATATCTATAGTCTTGTATGTAAAATTAATATAATTGAAATATTTAAATATATATTGGAGTATAATAAATGTTAAAACTACGATCAATATCATAATCGTTAAAAAATTATTGAATTTATGAGTGTATGTAATAAAATGTATTATATGAGAATTAAAAATAAAGAACTAAATAACAAAGTAAAAAACCATAAAAAATGAATATTGGTATGAAATTTGATAATTGTCACATGCGCTTGTAAAAATATCAATGTTATAAAAGAGTATCAAAACACGATTTTATTTTTTTGAAACAAAAAAACAGAACAAAATAGTTTCATATATACTGATGAATTAACAGCAGATACTGTGTGGCGAAGCTGAAAATATATATTTTAATGGAGTTCTTTAAGAATCTTTTTATATAGAAAATAATGAGAATGCGTTCAAATACTGGCAATGAAGTGCGTGTGGAGGTGAAAAAGAATTTTTCGAAGTCTGGACATGCTTTTATGAAGTATTGCTGTTTGTGGTATGAACACTGGTTTCCTTGAGGGGAGGGTTGGTTGGGTGTACCGACCGATGAATGATACATTTTGGTTTGTTCCTTTCTCTTTGGTTGGACTGCTGAATGAGTTTCTCGGGGTGTAATACGGCTCTTGTTTGTAAACGCTCTCACCCTTGTCATCATGAATCCATACAGTTGTTCAAAATTAGGTTCATTGATCGATCTCCCTAATGAATCCTCCCATTTTTCCCATGTATGTTGAGTGAATCTTTGCGTTAGTTGATGCACCATAATGCAATCCCATATGTCTTCTTTTAAATTCAGCTGTCGTAATCTTTTCAGTAATTCACTTGAGTCATGAGCGGTGTTCTCCATTCCATCAGCGTCATCCTGTATACGTGAGGTATTGGCTAGTAGTTGAATTAGATGTGACTCGCTGTATTGTCTGGGGTTCTCATATTTTTCTATCAAACTGTTCCATGCTATTGCGAGGGAGCTATTTCTAATAGTGATCCTTTTTATGATTTTCACTGCCTTTCCTGTAAGTTAATTTCTGATATATTGTAATTTTTGTACCACTGAGCCTGTTCACCCGTCCAATATGATGGATTGAATCAAGTCTCGGAACGTAGGCCATGCTAGGTAGTCGCTAGAGAAGATAGATAGTGGAAAGTCTGGCAGGCAGGCTGGTTCTCTCATCGTAGGCAAGTTTTCAGTGAGTGGCTTCGACGCCTCGGATGTGTTTTGAGTTGTCTCCTCTATACATCGGTGCAGTTTATCTAGTACTTCATGTATTTCGTGGTAAATTGTGAGTTCTTCTCCCGATGCATCCCTTTCAAAGTATTCATAAGATGGCAGGGATGCAGGCCAAGCAATTTCTAAATACGCGTGCTCCTTCATGAATGCTTTGTGTAGCTCAACTCTTTTTCTTGCACCTTGAATTTCGTCATCGAACATTGTCTCTGGAGAAATTGGGAGCCTTTCCCCGATTTTCTTCATCGCAGTAACGCGACTCCATTGCGACTTGGATTTGTGAATGAATTCGTTGGTTTGCAATGTTGGAGTGGTGCTGCGAATTCTGCGGGCATCCGCTTCAGCGGAGCTTGTCGACGCTTTTTCTCTGGGTCGGGCATAGTTTTTATGATAAGTCAATGTCTTCGTTTAAGAGTTCACGGTCGGCGACGAGGCGGAGCAGATGTCAGTATTTATAGTTGTTGATAACGGTAGTTTTGAAGCAATAACGTTTTTAATGATGTTCTCTTAGATAAATGATACGTCCTTCCCTATATTAACACCGAGGTAATGCATTGGCTCTACTATCCGGCTCGAAGGACCAAATGTTTGGAACTCCAGCCACCAGTATGATCGCAGATCACGGTGGCTGGATTAGACCGTACCACCAGTTTAATGGTGATTGGGGGGGGGGATGAGTGATTAATACATCAATTCAAAGTAAACACAATTGGTTTTAGTGACCTTTATTTAAGTAGTTGTTACAGTAATGTTGGTGTTGTTAATTATAGTGAGAATTGTTGATTTGATATATTTGTATATATACTTTGATATATGCGTATTTTGATTGTAGTAACTAGGCAGCTGATATTAAGTCGAAACATCGTCTGGGAGTGCAAGCCTCGTAAGATAACTCGGGAGTACTGATTACGGGTTCTAGCTTCTAAATCGATTATGTGTCGTGTGAGTTGACGCTAGGAATATACTGGGCATTATTCGGCTCGCGGATGCTTAGACGCTTGAGTCGATACTCGAATCGTTCTGAACGAGATTCGGTTCGCTACTAATTAGGCATTTGTCTCAATGCTAGAATTGAATTAAATGATATTCGGCTCGTGATGGTGGTGGGGATTACTCTGAATTAATGCATTAACCCCCCCCCCCATCATCATTAAACCGGTGGTACGGTCTAATCCACCCACCGTGATCTGCGATCATACTGGTGGCTGGAATTCCAAACATTTGGTTTCTGATCCAACAAAGATTTCTGATTAATAAATATTCCAATACTTTTGTTAATGAAACTGTTAATATTTAGAATACCATTAAAATATAGATTTTTTTATTCTTTTAAAATTTGATTCCAATGCATGAAATAAGAAAATTATATTATTTCATAAAAATCAATATCTTTTCCTCCTTTGTATTTTAGTTCGTATGTGCTCGTATACAAAAACTTTGTTTATTTAATATATTAATTATTTAATAATATTATATAATACAAATTATTATCTAATTTTTTATTTTATTGTAAAATATTTACATACATAAAATAAACATAGTATTATAATACAAAATTTAATTCTAATTGTTAGAGAAATAAACTGGATAAATAAAAATAAATATAATTATTATATTAAACTTGTGTATTCTGCTTGTAATAAACAAATATTAAAAACTTTTACCAGTTTTCTTTATTTAATTATTTCCATTTTTTATAAAGCGTTTTTGCCATTTACTCTCTAATATAAAAAAAATATCATATAATTTTCATAGACAAAAAATATTAAAAAAAAAATAATACTTTTTCATATAAACTCAAATACATTTATTTATGTCAGATTATGAAAATTTTTAAATTAATAATACAAGTAAGTCAATCATTGTTATAAAATACTATTATACAACCATATTAGTACTTTAATATGTATACAAATGAAAGTTGTTCTAGTAAAAAAAAAATTGAGTTAGAAAAATTTAATTAGTATATATATCAAATATAATAAATATCAAATATTTATTAATTTCTTACAAAAAATTATTGTTATGGAAATACATGCAATTGAATGACAAATCTTTAAATTATTAAAATTGCTAGTTACTAACCATTTATACTGAAAGAAAAATGTTAATATTATAATATACAATCAAATTTGAATTTAAAAAGTAATTAATAAAATATGTCAAAATAATAATAAAATCTTAAAAATACGAATTGAATGATATGTAAAATTTGAAATTATATGCAA